CAAATTGACCAAGTGGAATGTGCCAAAGGGAAAAGTGAACCTTAAACCAACAAAGGCCTGTGATTGCCTTTGGAAGAAAGGACATTATGGTAAAAAACCATGTGACGTAGAGAAAGAAAAGAAGAAAAAGAGGATGAAAAAAGCCTTCACCCCACTGACCAAGAAACAAGAAGAAGAGGTGAAAAATGGAGTCGAGATGCGGGAAAAACTGTACAACTTTCTTAAAGATGACATCAAAAATTCCTGTTTTTCACTACTACAGGAAAAGAGACGAATCATACCACCAAAGAAAGTCGTCCCAGAGTCAATGGTGGGGCTTGCCGACAGTGTGAGAAATATAACAGACAGGGAAGAAGCAGCAAAAAGGTTCTTGGAAAAAATTTCATAGTCAGCGGACCAATGTGAAATTTTAAGACAAGAGACAGTTGAACAGTCCAACTCGCTATCTTGGAGGAGTCAGAGACACGGTCGGGTGACTGCCTCTATGTTTAAAAGTGTTAGTTCCAGAGTAGACACCATGAGGAAAAAGGATGATGTGGACCCCTCTGCACTTGTCAGCGCCTTAATGGGAAAAAAGCCGGACATTAAAACAATAGCCATGAAACATGGAATTTCATTGGAACCGCATGCCAAGAAAGAGTACACTATTCTAATGAAAAATGACCATAATAAGTTCAAAGCCAGTGACTCGGGACTGTCAGTGTTTCATGAAAAGCCTTGGCTTGCTGCAAGTGCTGACCTCGAAGTAGTGTGTCTGTTGTGGGAAAGGACTGTGTGAAATAAAGTGTCCAAAAAGTGTCAAGGATACTGTGCCATCAGAGGAGAATGTAAAATATCTGAAACTTGACAAGCACGGGAAATTTACACTAGATAACAATCAACCGCATTATTTTCAAATCCAGGGGCAATTGCACATGCTAAACAGATCAGATTGTGATCTTTTCGTTTATACATACCATGGCCACCAGCGTGTGAGAATTTTTGATGACAACCAATTTTGGTGTAGTTTGGAAGAGAAGCTGACCTGGCTCTGGCGGAATCATGTGTTGCCGGAGCTACTGACTGTGGAAAAGGAAGATTCTGGCAACCAGGAGAACCCATGTGACACAAGCAGAGCTGTTACAGAGCCTACACAAGAGAAGACAAATACCAGCACACGCGCACGTGTACATGTACGTTCTGCTCTAGAACAACTTCCCTGCAGTCCGAATGCAGCAAAGTCTGACAAGCAGCCAAAGAAACGCCGTAGAATCACAGCGAGAGTGCCCGTTTACCTCTGTGGTACATGCTAATAATTAATTGTTGTTATTAAAATGTTGTAAATAAATCATGTAAATATTTGCGTTAATTGGAAAAAAACGTTAAACGAATAAAGATGGGAAAATACAGAAAACAGAAAAATAATTAGAAAACGAATGGGATTCGATCAACCGACCTTTCATACTTGACGCTCGCGCTGTACTCGCTACCCTATTGAGTCATATCTGAACTAAGAATTTTGAATGTGCTATGTATATGACAAGACTGTGACGTCATTGAGCGACGAAACAAGCCCAACCAATAGCAGCGCTCACTACAGCCCTATGTTCTTGATTGACCTAGGAAAAAAAATCACGCGGACGGCAACTCCTTCCGACCTTTGACCTTAGCGCATGTGCAGTGTTAAACTGTCCACCAGTGTATATAGTAATAATAATATTCTCTTTGCAGGAGCTTGACAACATTAGCATCGGAGCAGAACCTTTGGATAGTTTGCGACCATGTATACTAGTAACTTCAGAGGTAAAGTGATAGATTCAGCTGATTTGCGTGACCTACGTGCATTTCTTCGTGGTGCTGGCCATTGTATTACTATTAGAATTCAGCAGTAATGTGACGAAATGAAATATATTGAGTACACATGGTACATGTGCAATTCCATTGCTGATTAACCAATAATTCATAACTATACCATGGTAATTTAGAAATTGTGTGTCTAAGAGGTTGTGTGTCATATTTAGTTTAGAATGTGCCATAATATTCTGTGCATGATTTGCATAATTTTATAGTAATTCCATTGTGACTAAATTGTTTTTATGAGAGACCAGTTACCTTACTTTTTGCTGGTGATAATTGTTTGGCTCTGTTTTGTCTGTGAATTAAAATTCATTAATAAATAATAAAACATTCAAATCAATGTATATATAATAAATCATTTTTGTTGCGTTCATTCTTCTAACTATTTCAACTATATATTATAAATAATACAGCCTTACACAATCGAATAATTTTACCAATAAGCCGAAATTACCTATGTTCGAAAATAAGCCGAAAATGTATAAGCCGAAATTACTAAGCCGAAAATGTATGGATAAAAATTACCTATATGTTCTTTCCAGCCAATCACTGTAACTGTTGAGCTTGTCAAGAGTGTCTTGCACAAAATGACACTCGATGATAATTACGATGAAGCATTTACCAAGCAAGTTCAGCAGTGTAATAGTAAGTGATTTTAGCTCACCTTGACATCGTCAAGATGAGCTATTGCCATGGGCCGTCGTCCGTCGTACGTCCGTCTGTCCGTCCGTCTGTCCGTCCGTCCGTCAGCATTTGGCTACGATGACGCAGGAACCGTTTGACCCACATGTTTGAAATTGGGTATAGTTGTTACTTGTGGAGACGAGAATTGTTACTGCGGCATAGCGGAGAGGATGCAACGCAGTACAGGGGTGGCAACAGCTGCTGATGACTCATAGTCACCTGTCCGAACATGTTTTACCCGGCCAGCGGAATTATAGGGAATCAATACGGCAGGCGAGCTGCTCATTGGGTATAACGAGCAGTGCCGTATGGCATAAGGGGATAGATATATAAGGAAGAGGAAAGAAGGTTCGAGGGGAGTCGGGTGAGGCACTGGCTACCCGACCCACGCATGTAAGCTGCAGCACATATGTATTCCAATAAAGACGTCTAAATCTTATATAACATACACAACCTCTTCGACCATCATTGTCTACGATCACCGACCGACGAGTTAGAGTAACATACAGAATACCAGGGCTACATACTGCTATGCTCCCATATTGAGTCAGTTCAGGTTCAACGGATTTTGCTCATTTTTGGTATGTGAATGAATAAGGGCCAGGGGTTTTGATATTTAAAAAATCAAAAAAATGCAAATTAGGTAGGTTTTGGCAATTATATAGCATATTATGTTATAGACACGCAGATAACAGTCAGTGGTGTCACACTCACATTTCATTGACAATATCTTTAATGCAAAATTGGTGTTTCCACTCCACCCTGCCGATAAAACGTCTACATTAGAGTAAAGTTTTACAAAACATGTCGGAATGCAGCATAACCTAGTTAGTTCGAACGCCATCGCTAAGAAACATCAAAACGGGTATAGCGTCACAAATTGTGATTCATTTTGGTTTAAAAAGTATTATTGCGATATACAGATGTCAACCGTGTGCTACCGCCTAGAAAAACTCATACAAAGTAAACACTTCCATGCAACCAATTAACCTTTGACAAAAGTTGTGTTATGGGCAGGGAAACACCATTATCACGTGGTATATAGCAGCTACGTGGAATAAGCGTATCCTCTCAATCTTACACATTACACATCGGGAGCTCCGCTTTTAGGCAGTGCCTAAATCTGAATATTATAAAAAACGTTAAATGGTGATCATTTAGGTGTAACGCTATCACTCGCCCACATCTCAGACTTTCACATCTCAAACATTTATTTTCACATAAAAAATTACACATATAATTATCAAGAGTATATAATGGGAGTTCTCCCATATATACTCTTCAGTTCTATAATGTACGTCGACGGTTGCTCAATTAAAACTGACTTCTTCTCACTCACTCATTTGTGTCCTTTTTTGTGGTGAGCTACACTTTCATTAACAATTCATTTTATCCATGCAGCAGCGCTGATAATTAGCAATATGATCTCAAATTAAAAATTAAGCCGGGCTCAGGTCGCCCTACGACCTGACTAATTTATTGCCGATTGGCGTCATAAACAACACTCATGACGATTTGAAGTGATTTTGGGCTGCACATCGCAGAACAATCATCACATGATCACATTGTCATTAAAAATGAACGGTTGCGGGTGCTGGCGCGGTTATGATAATCACGTGACTCGACGGGCAGGCTCACAGATTGCAAAGACATTCAACTTTCTGAGTGGCTGTCTCGTGAACACAAGGCTTCACCTGCAAAGTTTAAGGAGACATGTTTGGACAGCATTTCACGCAGCACTTAGTAAGAACGTTGGAATCATCACTAAATGCACCGGTGAGTTGTGCAGATAAAATGATTAAATCTTTCCTATTTATTTCAAGTATTAGAAAAGTCCAAATGCTGCAATAAATATTTTCAGCTTCGTTGCTACTAATGTTTCATAGATACATTCTACAACTAATTAGATATGTCAGATTCAGAGTGACCAAGTGTTTTAATCCTAGACAATTGAGAATATAAGGCAAGCAAATGTTTCTAATTTTTAAGGATCTAAAGCTATTGCAACATCAGTTGCTTTGGAGCTCATGGAAGAGCTGGTTCGTGTGAACTACAGCCCGAAGACGATTTGTCAATTGACACAATGTCACATAACAACAGTAGAAGATGACATCATTGACTATATTGCTGGGTATTTGTTGCCTCGCCTGAAGGCACATCACCTGAATGTTGTGTCACAGCTTGAGGACATTGAGGGTAGCAAACTAATCGCAACGTTAGACAGGGGTGGTTTGACAAAGCCAAAAGTAGAGATTGTGTTCATAATACGATAGCTTGAGATCGCATTCCGCAGCATTCCACCAGTAAACATTAAACACGAAACATTTCATGAACACTTGTCGGTTTTTGAACCATTATCGTCATTAATTTTGGATATGGAGGCTGCAGCGGTAGAACATTTCTATGCTGATCTGGTGAATCTCTTTTACCGCATTCGGGTGCATCACGCCAATTTTAAGCCTGGTTACAATGTTAACTTACTGTCATAAAATAAGTGATATTTCAGTATTTGGAAAACAAACAAATGCACACTGTCACCACCACAGGGACCTGAGGCGAAATAAAAAATTAAAATGTGTTATATAAAAAGAGAAGAAGGGATCTAACTTCTGCACGCTGGCGATCACAGTAACCTTTCATTTGAGCTCCAACCACAGACAGAAATTCACACTTATTCTATCAACTTTTGCACCAAGCTGTATCCACTTCGACCATGCACAACAATTAATCCACCCCTGTACCTCGATTCCACATTAGAGCCGTTAAACTTGATGGCAAACCACTGTTTTTGGCCAATGAGAAAAATTACTTGTAGACCGATGATAACCGAGTCGCGAACAAAAATGGCTAGATCTCAGCAATCAGACAACCGAACACAAAGACCTTGATACCATTTTAACCGTCCGAGATCAGGAAATATGAAAACCCACACGCGGTTCCTTCTCTTCTGGAATAGTCACAACTATTGTCCAATTTACCAGACTTTCGTAACTTCCAACGTAAACACAAACGCCATGATTAGTGAATTCAGAACTACCCCGCACTCAACACCGGCTCATCGCTGATTAGTCGCAGTAACTCTGCTGTAACTAAAAAATCAACGAAAAATCAAGGTAAATATCTTCAAGAAGTGGAAAATACAGGTGAGTTAAAAACTTTTTAGTAAGAAAAAATCAACACATTTAATAAGAACTTGTTTAAAACTATCTAATTATATTATAATGTACATGGCTTATAATTTATATTACCATACCATGCCCCCAGCAATGCAGCTTTTCATATGTCAATGACGTAAACAAACTGTCACGCGGGAAGTTCAAATAAATTTTTTTACCTGTGCAACGCTTGATAACCTCACAACCTCTTTCACGTTGATAATATGCATTTGATCAATTGGTAAGACTTAACGTAAAACCTATTTAGCTGTTGATTAAATAATTTCATCGGATCTCTATAATTAATTATAATCATAATTAATACTTGCTTTTCAGCTGTGTTATCGAAAATTCACTCGCAAACACCACTATCTGTATCACGTTATTCACTGTAGTCTGTATCACTGTATCCACTGTATCACCAAAATCGTATTTATATTCAGAGATGGAACATGAATATAATAATATAAAAACCTCGTACAATAGACCGATAAGTAATAATTTTGAAATATTATTCACAATTCTATACAGTACACAAGCATTCAAAATGACCATTATTTATTTTTGGCCACACAATGTCCAAGTTATGTTATACTTATTTAAAGTAAAGAAGGGATGTAAATATACAATTTTATATATCAAACTGTAAAAAATGAAACGTATATTTTTTGCTATTAACTAGTGCTGTACTTGCCATGTGCTTTCCTTGCTGAAAAATATCACCAACCCTACTACAATATAAACTAGGAAAAATATATAGATAGATAACATGTACATATGCAAATATACAGTACTCTTTCACAATGGCAGTTGACATTACAATTTCAAATATGGCCGAGTCATTGCCTGGATTTGGAGTGGCAGGTACCCCCTCCCAAAGTCCGGAAGCTGCCCAAACTATACATCGGGTTTTACTTTTCAGGTTAGAGAAGAATATGGAGGTGTATCCCAACAGTAAAGTTGGCACAGATGAGGTCCTGATGGCAGTTAATAAGGAACGCCTTGCTCATAACCTTGATAGCGTATCGAAGAACCTTCTTGGGAGAATCCTAAATAACTTGTTCCATGTGAACTCAACAACACTTATGGCAGATGGAGTACGTGTATCATATCACATAAACCTTAAATTCAGGCAGGATAGTAGTGATGAGTCACATTGTAATTTTTCAGATATCTCACTCATCGTGACAGGGTATGGATGGATAACTGGAAAAAATGACGCACAAGTGAGTTTTAATTCAGAGTGGATTAGTGGTTAATCATCACCAAGTAATGCTCAACATTTCTTTCTTAAATAAAAATTCATGGACATTACATGTAGGAGATGTAGAGATTGACCTTGAGAGTATTCTGATGTCTGCTAGATACGAATCAAGACGAGATGTCATGGGCATTGTAAATATGGTAAAGAAACTTAGACTGTGCAAGGGAAAGAAGAAAACAGATCGGGTTGTTGTTCGGACAAATATTGTAGAACACTGCTCAGAGGACAGCGTCACTTATCAATGTGTCCGTACAGAAGCATGGACAAGAGTTCTGCCATTTACTGTTGACTTGGATACATTCACCTGCTGCTCATGTCAAAGATTAAGGTAACGAAGCCATTAGTAGAAACATACTTTATCCAATTGGATGACCAAGACTCAAAGGACATGGCCTCCATTCTAGATGCTGTACTGCCAGATACCAGTGGTAAAGAGTTGAAGGCCTTAATCTTGGAGCAGCAGAGGATTTTGAAAGCCAAAGGACCAACGGGATACAGGTAAGACGGTTGTCAACAGGGCTCGAATTAACCGACGGCACCGACGGCAATTGCCGGCGGTGCCCCTATCAATCGCCGTACTGCCCCTGAAAATCCAACCCGACCGACGGCAGTCACCTGCCTTGCCCTTTTCTGTAATTGCCGTCGGTGCCTCTGGCTAGACTGGTTCGCGGTCACACTGTTTGTCGCAGAGCGTGTACATTGTCTAGCGGAGTGTGAGTCCGGATTCCAGGCTTCCCTTCGGCAAAGACAATAAC